TCATGTAAGTGTATGCCCTGAAGTGTGACAGCTTATACCTCTTAAATACATATATATTTTTATTGTTTAAATGTCATCCCATCAAAATACCAGCATCTGGGACTCTGGGGCCCTTTTGCTGCTGAAGCATGTGGATGAATCTAGCTTTGGATTTGCCAAACTTTATAGTTATTACACAAACTCTGTTGAGCTCCCTTACCTTCTCACTCTCAGTCCCTATAGAGTGTTAGACTTCAAACATGAAGGTTCGAATAATAAGAGAGCAGTTTTTAAGGCTATATAATTTACAAGCTGTAAAATGACCGTATTAAAATTTAGAGGAAGACGAGTGTAGTGAACTATATAAAACTTCAGTGCTAGATAATAAAATCAGGTATTGTCCGTGTGAACTGAACTTCACAGAAGTTAGCTAGTTACATTTAGGAAGTGGGTTACTGTGATGCTAAAGGCTTCTGTTTCATAAAACTTCCAGAAATTGATTCAGAAACACTGAATCTTGGCAGCCTGAAGCCATTTTTGAAAACTTAAGCTGAGAGGTGTAGGTGACCAAAGGAATGCAAAGTTTATAAAAGCAGAGTCTAGAAATTGGTCATGGGCTTCCTTTATAGTGTCTCTGCAGCAGCACTTGCCCTGAGAATAGTGTCAGGAAATATTCTCGAGGCATCCTTGTTTCACGCTTATACTCCAGAAATATCAAAAGAAAGAGCATGTGGATAAACTGTGCATTCATATAGTTCATATACACACCCTGGAACAATAAACAATCAGCTGTCTGTGGCAATATTAATAGCAACAGATCAGTTTATATATCAGCTAAATAAGACCCAATTCTCTCATATTCAGGCAAAGCTCCCATTTGTTTTTATCTGCTACTGTAGGCAGGCCTTGAAACAAACTCCACAATACAGAGTTGCTGTATGGTCCATAGACTACCCTCCCAGTTCTCAGTGAAGCCCATATCCTCCAATCATTCAAATTATTTTTAAACACATTTCTTTATGAGGTTCACAATCATGAATCCACACCAGTTAATGTTCCTCTCTAACAATAAGGATACCAAGGAACCACCTAATGGTCAGTGGGAATTGTGTGTATACACATGAGGGCAAAACTAATTTTAGTGGGATGTTTGACAGACTAAGATCTTCAGGGATGGCTCCACAAAGCAGATTAATTTCTTTCTCTCCTCTAGGAAACAAATGGCAGACTAGTTTATCACTATAAGTACTCAGTCCCTTATCCCTTAAATATTATCCATAACTGAAAGCATCTTATAACATGGGGTGTTTTTACACATGCTCCAGTGTTGGGGGACACACACTGAGAGCCACTCTGATTAAAGTGCCCACAGTGTCTCATATATCAGCATCCCTGTGCTTCAAAATGGCGGCGGGGACGCTTTAATTAACGCTCATCAAAAGAGCTTTAGTTAAAGCACACCCACCACCATTTGAAGCGGGGGATGCTGAGACATGAGATGCGGAGTCTGGTTGGAACACGCTAATTAGCACACGCCAGCGGACTTGATTAATCGATTAATTGAGCCTGCTCCAATGCGCTGTAATTACAGCGTAATTACAGGACATCAAAGCAACCTCCCTGCAAGTGCGTAGGCACCCATAAGTGCTAATTGTCAAATAGAACGTAATTTGAATCTATGCCATATTCTGGGGAAAACAAAAATCTGAGGCAAACTCTGCCTTCGTTATAGGTTAATAGCATAATACTCTTTTCTGTTGTCAGACTAGAAACTCAGTGCTATAAAATCCCAGAACATTTATCCTCTGCTAACCAACCTGGGCATACAAAAAGGCTTGCCACCGAGATGGCAAGGACTATACTATAGAGTATCTGCAACATTAAGCCTAGTTCTGCATGGACAGTGGAGCTGTCTTGTTGTGTCCTGTTCTACAGAATAGGAACTGTTACGTGTAGCAGCACTTGGGTATTTATTTTCAACCACAACACGCATTTTTGGTCAGAGGTAGAGAATTTGACACTGTCAGTGGAAGGGAAACATAGGCTGTTTTTAGGCATTACATTTTCTAGGTTTAATTCAGACTATAGCTGTCACTAGATACATGTGGGTGTCTGTAGTCTGAATTAAAATTGGCTCCAGTCTGATTTAACTAATACTCATTGAATAAGGATTAAAGTTAATGAAGACTAGGGCAGTCCAAATTAGGCAATTTAAACTGTTTTAATTAACATGTATATACGAGTCCTTAGGAACTCAGCAGGATAAGCATTGCAAATTTCAACCACGGCAAGGGAAACTCAACTGGGTTTTTGCAACACAACAAAGGCTATCAGGCACAAAGTAACACCTTTACAAAGTCAAATGTACCAACAACACCTCACCAAGTATCAATTGCAGGTCAATTGTACCCATTACAGCCTCTGGAATAGAAGTTTAAATAACTGTCAGTAGGATTGCAACAATACATCAGTGGTTAAATAGGTTTGTTATCACCTCCTAATTACTTCCAAACATAAGCCCATACACAGGATATGAACTGGGTCTAAGGGGCTGTCAAATGTGTTGACTGTGTACAGCCAGGATGCCCTGCCATGATGGTCAGTGATCATCTATTAACCCTTAATAAGAATTGAAATTTGGTTCAAACTGTGTGATGCAAATCGGTTAACATAGTTTAGAAAATGGTGAGCATGTTTACAAACAGTCATAGGAACTGCTACATGAAAGCAGACTAGTAGCCCACCTAGTCTGATATCCAACTTCTGATAGTGGTCATTGCCAGATTTAGGAGAGAAAAGGATAAAAAAAATTGGTGGAGAATTAAACAATAACTTAATCTAACTTTAAATTATGTCCAATGTCTATCTAAAAGATAAATTGTAGGTCAGTCAGATGTCAAGGATTTGATTTTGAGATCACTTCTTGACATTACATGGATTGCTTTATGCAGATGGCCAAGCTAGACTGGGGTGGGCAATTATTTCAGCTGAAGGACCACTTAACCAGTTTGGGTGAGTTATCACGGGCTACAAGGTAGCCCCACCCCTTGACAGGTGCCCCCAGCTGTCATCTTGGGACCCAAAGTCTCAAGTCTCTAACCCATGGCCTTTGACCCCAGAAGTCCCTCCCCTTGTCCCAAAAGGACTCCTTTTGGGAGTGAGGGGGGAAGGGAAGGAGGGTTGCCATCTTGGAACTGGAATAAAAACAAATCAAATACTAAAAATCAGACATCTACTATATTTAATTTTTATTTAAAAAATATTTTTGTCCTGATTGATGTGTTTGTGTAGTGTATATAGAGGCAATTGCATAATAGTTCAAAATAAAGTCTGATTCTTGTATATTGTGTGTGTGAGGGTAGGGAGGTGTACATCGGGGTGTGTGGTTGGGGGAGTTTGGGGTTGGGGAGTGGGGATGTGTGTGTATGTGGTGGGGTGTGGGCGAGGGTATGGGCGTGTGTGGAGGCTGGAGTGTGTGGGGGTGTATGTGTGGGACGGACATGGGAGGGGGCCCAGAGCCACATATAGCAGCAGCATGCGGGGTCAGCTGGGCCTAGCCCCACAGGCCTCATGCTGTGTAGCTCCCATATTCCTGCCTGAGTTCCCGGCCCCACGTGGTGGCAGCATGAAGGACCAGCCCTGCCCAGCCCCATAGCACACAACTCCTGCACTCCTGCTCAAGTCCACAGCCCCACATGCCAGCAGCATGTGGGCCAGCCCTGCCTTGCCCCATAGCACACATCTCCCATGTTCCTGCCTCAGTCCCCAGCTCCACATTGTGGCAGCAGCATGCAAAGCCAGCTCCACCAGGCAGAAGCTTCTTGTCTCTATCTTGGGTTTGGGAGCACATCAAGCCAGGCTGGGGTGGGGGTTGGTTGCTTAGAAAGCAAAGCGAGAGCTGCTGCTGTAGGGGCACTGGCACCTGCTGTCCAGAAGTGCTGGCTTTCAGAGGGGCAGCCGAGGGCCAGGACCGACGCTAATTGTCTTTTGGCTTTGGGAGAGGTCTCAAAGGCCAGATAGAATTGCCTGGTGGGCTGGATCTGGCCTGTGGGCTGTATTTTGTCCACTTCTGAGATAGATAAGCACACTGAACCCTTTAGTCCTCATCTATGGAGCTGCATGTTATTTTTATTTACAGAAACATGGAGTCTTGTTTCATGCCTGCAGCAATGAGTTATAGAGCTCAGCTATGACTACTTTCTCAAACATTGGCTTGAGAGGGCACATTTATAGGTTACTGGCTGTCCTATGAGGGATGCTGTCCTTTTCTTTTTTTAGCACGCAACAGGATGGGCATAGATCGGGCACAGCCCAAAGCGTATATGACCATCACTTTCTGTTCTTGCTCTCTTTTCTTTTTATCTGTCTTTTTTGTGATGGTGTACTTTATCTTTAGCAGTGAAACTGAGTTTTGCTAAGATATTACTTAGCTCTCAACTGGTCATTTTTAAATATTTTGCTTGTGGGTAATTTGAAGGTTGATTACCTTTTTTGTTGCCCTTGCTTAAACGTTACTTTAAACATTACAGATAATCCAGTTGATAAATAGACTTAATGGGCATCTATACATGTGCTCCAGGGTTGGGGTGGGGGCGTTTTATGTATTTAGTGCCCCATGCTTCAAAATGGTGGCAGGGACATTGGACTAAAGCTCGTTTGATGAGCTTTAGTTAAAGTGCCTCCGCTGCCATTTTGTAATGCGGGGACATTGAATACACATGCTAGTGAGGCTGCTGGAGCATTGTAATAAGAACGCTCCAGCAGACTGGATTAATCAAGTGCACTCAGACGTGTGCTAATTCGAATGTGTTGGAGGTGGCATCCCACATGTGTACAGGCACTTAATATTCTTTCCCCGCATGGTAGATGGCACTAAAGAACAATGGTGAACTGCACTTTGTGAGAAACCCCTTTTGTTCAATTAATTTTTGTTTGTGCCTAGATTATATGCAGCCATCCTGTATAGTGCTCATTGACCTGTTAAAGGCATGATGATAGTTTGACAAGGTGTCCTGATTACATTAATCCCTTAGCTCTTGACAGAAGACACAGTCTGGTTTTTGATCTGCTTGTTGTTCTATCTGAATGGTGACAGAGTGAAAAGTGTAATTGTCAAGGAGCACTTGAGTAATTTCTTTTAGAATCTGTTGACTGTCCACTGTGTTTGCTGTAGACGGAGAACAAAAAAACAAGAATTACTGATTGAATGAATGCAACAATTTTCAGAAAACAGAGGGAATACCAAGACACATATTTACAAACATGTTGGCAATTTCTGAGTAGAATTTTGTTTTTAATGTGTTCGTAGCCTTTTTATCCATCTTTTATGAGCATTCTTGCAGCAACATTTTGTTCATTTTTCTGGTCAGAAAATGAATTGCAGCCAGTAGGTGAGGTGAATTTAGTCAGGAAGTAAAACTCTATTTTTCAGAAAAAATCTCTTTTAGAGAAAAACAATGATTAAAATGGTTAGTTCAATCAGCCACGGAATGGAAACAATGCCACCTCCTTGGGTGACCAATATAATGCCCCAGGCAGGGAATGGTGACTATTAAATACTTGGAGGAATTTTCCTACTAAACAGTTTGTAAGACATACACTGAATCTTTTTCTCATACCGAGCACATGTCTAAAAATTACACTGTCAAACAGATTAGTATGAAAATCACTGCTGGGAAGTGGATAAATTGTGGATAGAAATAAGAACTAGATTTGACAGTGAAGGATTGTATATTGTTCTACCTGATTTACTTCTATATTTCAAATTACATTATTGGATTACAATTAGCTATTGATCTGCTGACCTGTGCCACCAGTTATTATTGAAGCTGATCAAAATTTTTCAAATTCTTGACAAAAAATCTGATACCAAAATCTCCCTTTTTGTTTATGAAAAATCTCTGCTGGTTCTATTTTGATAATAATTTTAAGATACTGGCTTTCGTCTTCATTTACAGCATTTCAAGTATTTTATTATGCTTAGGTTACTACTGCATTTGGCACCATTTCTGGAGGAAGGATTAAAATGCTCTCTTTTTTACTTTCCTTCCTTTTTTTTAAACAAAAAATCACTACTGTTATTATAATGAGCAAACAGACGTAAAGAATTTGTTGCACCTCAATACGGAGAAACTGACCTTTACTAGGAATCAACTGACTGCTTAATCTCTGTTTACAGAAATTTACTGACCTGTGGCAACGTGAGCAGATAAAATAGCTTGATTCATTGTCAGAGACCAAAGATGAAGGTTGTGGATAGATTGCACTTTGTCAACAGCTAGAATTTTCTCTTTCACTGCATCATAATTAAATACCTTTGTTGTTCCTGTAGAATGGGAAAAACACCTTTTGATTAAATTAAAGTAAAGACAAACTGACAATGAATGGAGCTGGGTTTTTTTTCTTTGCTTTTTCCTGGTTTCTTTTTACTTGTAATTGTAACTTTAAATTCTATCCTCTATTTCAAACTACTGCTGTGAGTGGAAAGCTGCCATGAAGCAAGGCCTACATCACTTGGAGATGGAGAGGGTCAATGATGAGATAGAGAAAAGGTGTCAGAGGCAAGCAAGGCAAGATCATACTTGGCATGCCAGCACAACCTCAACTGAGTTTGTATGTGCAACTTGCTGGAGGGTCTGCTTGTCATGCATCAGACTCCTCAGCCACTCAAAAAACTGTGGTGGTACCCGGTAACCCACGAAAGGTGCAATCTCCATGGTCTACCAAGACTGATGACTGCCAGTGATGATGATTCCAACTTGTGGGAATAGGGAGTGACTGAGCAGTTAAGGCATCTTTCAACATGAGTTTATGCCCTACTTGTTGCCAAAGACTGCCCCCACTGAACCCAGTTGTAAATGAGGACCAGATAATTTGGGCTGGGTAGTCAAAGGCGACTGGATGTGACATATGTCACAGCACTCCTTCATGTGGCATTGGCTACAGAGAGTTGCCTTAGCTACACTAATCTAATAGGCTGCTAATCTAAGGAGGACTTTAATCTTTTTGATTACTCACTACTTCAGGAAGCGATGAAATTTAAATAAATCTTAAAGCTAAACAGATACTAGGAGAGTTCTCTTTATTACAGAAGTAAACCCTTTAGTTAGATCATCTTCCCATTCTGTTCTGTCCCTGGGAATATGGATGTCACAGTACCCAAGTACCTCACACTCATTAGAGGGTTAGAGAAGTACCATACTTATTTTACAGATAGAAAATGAAAGAACAGTGCATATTAAATGATTTGCCCAAGGTTGCATAACAATTGTGTGCCTGAGATAGATCTGGAACATAGGTCTTCTGAGTTCTACTCCATTTTCCTCTTTACCAGAAAACCCCTCTTGCCTGCCAGGATTATTTTCTCTTGCCTGTGGCTAAAAGTACAGGAGTATTGATATTCATATTAGAATTAGATGTGAATCTGAGCTTCAGAATTAAATCTTTATTCAAATTCTCTGTAATTGCTTACTATAGAATAAGTTAATGCATATGAACAATTACTGCAAGGCAGCTGTTGATCACTAAACCCTTCTTCTCCTTTTACCCTATGTTATATTGTTCAGATAGCCATGCCCTTAGAAATCAAAAGCAGGACATAGAATTATAGAAAATTAGGGTTGAAAGGGACCTCAGGAGGTCATCTAGTCCAACCCACCGCTCAAAGCAGGACCAGTTCCAACTAGATCATCCCAGCCAAAGCTTTGTCTAGCCAAGGCTTTGTCTCGATCACCTCCAGGGATGGAGATTCCACCACCTCTTTGGGTAACCTGTTCCAGTTTCACTACCTTCCTCATGAGAAAGTTTTTCCTAATATCTAACCTACTTCCCTTGCTGCAACTTGAAACCATTGCTCCTTGTTCTGTCATCTACCACCACTGGGAACAGTCCAGCTCCATCCTCTTTAGAACCTCCTCTATGCACTCTGTGCCATCTTCCAGGTCACTAATGAAGATATTAAACAAAACCAGCTCCAGGACTTACCCCTGGGCCACTCCACTTGAAACTGGCTGCCAACTAGACATCAAGCCATTGACCACTACCCTCTGAATCTGGTGATCCAGCCAGTTTTCTATCCACTTTACAGTCCATTCATCCAACTCATATTTTCTTAGCTTGCCTGCAAGAATGTTGTCAAGGTATACCATATCCACTGGTCTCCCCACATCCACAGAGCCGGTCATGTCATCATAGAAGCCAATCATGTTGGTCAGGCATGAGTTGCCATTGATGAATCCATGCTGATTGTTCCTAATCACCACCTTCTTCTCCAAGTGCTCATAAATGGATTCGTGGAGGACCTGCTCCATGATTTTTCCAGGGACTGAGGTGAGGCTGACTGGTTTATAGTTCCCTGGATCTTCCTTCCCTTTTTTAAAAATGGGCACTATATTTGCCATTTTCCAATCATCTTGGACCTCTTCTAATTGCCATGAGTTTTCAAAGATGAAGGCCAGGGGCTCTGCAGTCACATTTGCCAACTCGTTCAGCACCCTAGGTGCATCCCATCTGGCCCCACGGAATTGTATAACTATGTCCAGCTTTTATAAATGGTTCCCAAGCTGTTCTTTCACCATAGATGGCTGCTCACCTCCTCCCCAAACTGTGACATAGGGCTGAGTGAGGGCTGTGCAATGCTCTTCAGTGGCACCTCTTTACCTCCACCCCAGACTTCAGAAAAACTGAGAGAATTAAATCCAGAACTGCAATCCAAAAAGCCACTAAAAGGCTACCTAATCCTGGAAATGCCTAAACTGCCTAATTGCCTTCACTTATTTTATTTAGAACAACTCCAGCCTGAACTAGAGGTTTATGTGGGTTTTGTATATGTGCATTCACTCTTATGCGATGACCCTTTTTATACTCCAAATTAGTTATATGCAAGGTAAATTTACTCTTATGCGATTGTCATTGGCATGCTCCCCCCTCCCCCAAGCAGGTAAGTCTATGGGAGGAGCGGAAAGGGCTGTGGGGCTGGGGCCCCACTCACCCCAGTCACTGCTAAAGCTGCTCTGGGAGTGGCCAGTGCCAGCTGCCTGCAACCATACCCTGAACCCCCCGGGGCTCTGCTTGTCCCCACTCACCCCAGCCCCTGGGCTGTGCCATGCCCTGGTGCAGGCAGCTGGCGTTGGCTGCTCCTGGGGTCTCTGCAACAGGGGCTAGGGTGAGTGGGGACAAGTGGAGGACCTGTGGGGATGGGGCACAGTGCAGCTTCTTGCTGCTCACCCCAGACCTTGCTGCAGTGGCCCCAGGAACAGCCAACACCAGCTGCCTGCAGTTGCTGGGCTGCGCTGTGCCCTGAACTCCCTGGGGCTCTACTTGTCCCCACTCACCCTAGCCCCTGGTGCAGTCGCCCTGGGAGTAGCCAACACCACCTGCCTAAAACATGGCATGGCACAGCCCAGGGGCAGGGCAGGGGGTATGGCTCTTGCTGCTACACGCACCCCGGGAGGGCTGTAGGTTGGTGTGCTGCATCAGGCTCTTCCCAGGGGGCCCGTGCCCCCAGATCTGTGCATGGGACAAGAGTAGGCTGCCACCTTCCCCGAGCACTAGGAAGAGCCAAGTTCCACCACTGGCCCCAACCCACAGCGGCAGCCTGCTCTTGTCCCAAGCACAGATCTGGGGGTACAAACCCCTCCGGGAAGAGCCCAGAGCAGCTCCCCAGGCCTGCAGCCCTCCCAGGGTGTGCGTAGTGGTAAAAGCCTCATCCCGCACCCACTGACAGTTCCCTCCACTTCGCCCCCCGCTGCAGCCATGGGAGCAGCCAACGCCACCTACCTGCAGCCGCTGGGATGTGCCATGCCCCTCCCCCCCCCCCTTCCCTAGCCCCAGCCTTACTCCCTTCCTTCCTCACCACCATGGGAATGTATCCCTATTTGTTACCTTATAAACTGGGTTTCCTTTATGCAAATTCAATTTATGTGAATTTTTCTGGGAACACATGTACTGCATAAAGCAAGGAAAACCTGTACTTGGTACCTAGCTCCTACCTAGGCCCAATCAGGATCAGGTGACCATGACAACAAAAAACTACCAACAATCCAGCTAATTCAGCATCTTCTCTGGCAGTAGCAAGTAGCAGATGCTTTAGACTAGGGGTGTCAATAGGGGTGTCAAACTAACCTAGTGCCCCAGGCCAGATTTAGACCCGCAGGCTCATTGCCAACCGGATCCAACCCAGGGCATGGAGCAGTGGCAGCAGGCACCAAAATAGCAGTGAGGCAAGTGGCCATGGGCCCAGTGTGTACTTGTCATGGCAGAGTCATGCAAGTGGCAGTGAGCCAAGTGGCCACAGGGTGACTGAGGAGTATGTTGCAGAGCCCTCGCTTGCCCCTGTGCCAGCAGTGGCCATGTTTACTGAGACTCTAAGGCCCTGAATTCTGAGGCAGGCCCTGTCCACTATTAGCCATGTCCCCAAATTCCCTAGCCCACCAGCAACCTCATGGGCCAAATTGAGCGACACTGCAGGCCAGATATTTTAGAAGAAACCCCTGCTTTAGAAGAAAAGTATAAGAAACAAGGTGATCCATCCCTGACATACCTTCCCAATCTCCATGAATGGGTTGAATCCTTAACCACTGATATCTCTATAAATGTATTGAATCCCTTTTTGAATCTGGTTATACTTTTGCCATCCATGACATCTGGTGGAAATGAGTTCTGTATGTTAATTATAGGTTGTGTAAAAACAGGACTTTCTATTGTTTGTCTGAAACCTGCTGCCTGATGATGCAAGAACTAGAGGACTCCCAACAAAATGATGAGGCATAGTAAATAACAGTTCCTTTTTCACTTTTCCACTCCATTCATGGTTTTATAAGACTGCTACCATATCCCATCTCAGCAGTCTTGTTTCCAAGTTGAAGAAATGTCCAGCTTTTCCAGTCTCTCTAGATGGAAGCCACTCCATGCCTCTGATATTTTTGTTGCTTTTCTCTTCCCCTTTTCTAGTTCCAGTATATCCTTTTTGAGACTGAGATGGGGCAGCCAGAACTTTACCCAGTATTCAAATATGGGTGGTCCGTGACTTTATATTATTCATAATATACAAATTAATTGTATGTGTGTGCCTGTGTGTGTGTGATTTTGTGTTTCAATTCCTTTCCTAATGATTCATAACATTTTGACCTAACATTTTGGACTTTTTGACTGCCACTACACATTGAACCAGTGCCTAAGTCTCCTGATGGGAATTTACATTCTCAAAACATCCTTACACATATCAACAGGACTGGGGAAAATTGCATGTGTGGCCATTTTCTTTTATAATATCTGTAGTGTTGTCATCACACAATTGTTCTACAACAGCCTCAAGGTTAGTGAATTAGCCAAAGAAGTGAGGAACAGGATTTTAGGCCATCTTCAAGGGGATGGACTAGATGACCTATGGAGGTTCCTTCCAGTCCTACTTCTCTATGATTCCCTATAATGCTCACCCTGAGTTCAAATCCATACCTTCCAAGAAAATGTTTTAACCATCAGGTAATTGACTTCCTGTTGAAAGATTACCACTGTAAAGCAAAGAAGGTGAAGTTAATGGGCCAGAAAGAAAACACAAAAGGAAGCCTGACTCCGTTCTCTAGTGGTCTGAACTCTCTCAGGATTAGGAGGGCATTAAACCCAACTATCTTCCTGGACAAGTGCTCTAACCTGAAGGCTACTAGCAAATATGTGGGCACTGCCACCTTTTAAAAGAAAAGGGTGTCCTCTGATCAGTTCTTTTAGGCTAAGTACAGATAGTCAAAAAGCTTGAGGCTGAATTGATTCACTCTTTGCAGGTTAGTCTAGGCTGTGTAGATTAATTGATAAGCAAGTGAACAGACATTCACTTTTGATTCTGGAAATGCAGCTATGTGCGTGCAGTGTCTCAGGCCAGAAGCTGGCAGGCACTAGAGCATACCTCCCTGCTCAGCTGGAGGAGACAGCTTGGGCCAAAGCTAGTTTGCCCACCCTTTGAGTGGGGGGGAGGGGATTGGGAAGAGAGGTGCAAAGCATCCTGGGATGCTGGGGAACTGTGAATAAACTTGAATCTGGAGGGCATCTGGGACAGAAGTTCAATAAACCAATTTAGCTTAAATCAGTTAGGTCTTATACTACAGACATCCAAGTTTATCTTAAACCAGTTTCAGCCATTTTGAAAGCATTTCAGGTGGACTGAAATTCTGGGCTAAGTACAGGCAGTCAAAAAGCCTGAGGCTGAATGGATTCAATCTTTGCAGATTAGTCTAAACTGTGTAGATTGAATCAATAAGCAAGTGAACAGACATTCACTTTTGATTCCAGAAATACAGCCACATGCCTGCAGTGGCTCAGGCCAGAAGCCAGGGGACAATAGAGGAAGCCTCCCTGCTTGCCTGGAGCAGACAGCTTGGGCCAAGCTAGCTTGATCACTTTGCAAAGGAGGGTTTGCAGGGGAGGTGCAAAGCATCCTCGGATGCTGGGGGACTACGTGGTAACTTGAATCTGGAAGGGATCTGGGACAGAAGTCCAATAAACCAATTTAACCTAAATCAGTTAAGTCTGATACTACATCCATCTGGGTTTATCTTAAACCAGTTTTGGCCATTTTGAAAGCAGTTTATGTGCACTGAACTTCTGTTGTGTTACCGTTTTGAACCAGTTTTTGGTCTCTTATACCAGTTATGTGTAACGTCTGTCCCTAGCCCTGTTGTGTTACAGATCTGAACCAGTTTCCAATCACTTATACTGGTTTATGTGTAATTTATGTCCCTAACCTTGAAGAATGGATATCAGTATCTACTCTCATGGAGAATTCTAAGCCCCAGATTTCATGAGAGTGGAGATACCTGCCTGCAGCTCTGAGTCAAATGTCTTGGCTCCGTACGCTCTTCTCTGCATTTCTTATCGGTTAGCTCTGGTCATCTTCATGCTCTGCAACTGAGGTTTTGGGGTCCTACCCTGAAGCACCTTTCTCCACATATAATAATACCAATAACACAGCAATCTAACAGTTAGGTGTTTTAGGACCTAATTTGGACATGCCCAAGTCTTTTACAGGATCAAGCTCTTGATGTAACCAGCCAATAAGGCTTTGTCTATTTTGTTTATAGCCAATGTAAACGGTATAATCTGCTCATTGTATTCCAGCTAGGAAGTTGATTAAGATAATTTCTAACTTTCTAGTTCCTAATAACTAAGGCCAGAGCATGTAAAACTTATATTATGGCAACACTGTGGAATTTTTCTTAATGAAGCAGAAATAGACACAAAGGAAAAAAGAGAATAAAGACATAATAAGCTATTAGCTATGCAGACAGTCAGGCCAGCTAAACCATTACAACCCAAAATCTACATAATTCTAGCTCCTCTTCCCTTTAGGGCCTATGTCTTTTGTAGCTGAGACAACAGCTGTATCATACTGTTCAGCCCCAGGAAGGCTGAAACATGCATCCGTGACTGCTAGAACCATTCAGCCTTGGCAAATCAAATTTTCAGGCTCATAGCTGACAGCATTAAATATTGCTAAATCTAGTCAGTCTTACAGCCTTGATGAAAATGTGCTGGGAATTGTCCATTTCACCTTGAACTCTAACCTCATCTGAAAAATACTGGTGCTTGCCTCTTCAGATCAATGTAACTAGAAGTCTTAGCAGCATTTCATATTTCTGCTGCTTGCAAATTGCCCATTCCATAGAAGGTCAAACTTATAGTACAATCTTTTTTTTTTTTCAGTTTGTTGGGGTATTTTTTTTACACTAGTTGTTGTATTCAGGATGCATACAATGAACTTAGCAAGCAGAATTCACAAATGCCGAAAGGATTTGAGAAGTAATGGTATACATTTGGGGAGGAAAAAATCAGTTGTAGGAATGCATTGCAGTTTCATTATTGAAACACCAACACAAAGATTCTCATAATGAATGGATATAATTCCATCAAAATTCCATAAAAAGGAATCCCACTAGTACTACAATTATGGTGAGAACATGCTTAAAATTATAAAAAATACTGATAAATACCTCAAAATGCACTGTTCCTTCTAGACAAAGAGTCTTGTTTAGCTAGCTGTGGGTATTATGCTGCTGTTAAAGGGCAAGGTCTACCTATGATTTAAGGCAGCAATAAGCAAAGGAGTTCAGATCTCAAAAGAATGAAAGACATATTGCAGGGCTGTGGTGCAATATCAGGTGAAGTGTTAAACCATTTCTGTGTTTCTGGCCATAGCTTCTAATGTTGGCACAGTGTATAACGTACAACTGGTCAGTCAGTTTCCCATAATAGCCAAAGTCATAGGGTACCATCATAACAGTTTGTTTATAACCTCTTGCCATCACGGATATTATTTGACCAAAAAAGTATCTCTATTACGGGCTTTCCTTACAATACACCAAGATAATTATACTATGAAAATACTAGTGCTCAAATCTTCAGGTGTGTTCAGATAAGTGCGTGTGTGGTTTGCGGTGCCTGAAAGCTGTTTGAGGAGCTACAAACTGCATGCGGCACACATGCACGTGTGCACTAATTAGCAGTGTGCTGCCAAAATTTAACACCAGCAGATCCCAGCGTCAAATAAAAATGCTGCTAAAAAAGGCATTGAGGCGCATGTGGCAGCAGCGTACACCTCCAGAAAGAGAGCCTAGCTAGCCAGAGCAACAGTCTGGTTGCCAGCAAGGCTCCATGTGGCCTGATCAGCAATGCTGCTGCCCTGGGAGGCCCCCAGACCCCAGGTAAGGCTGCTGGGGCCGGCCCAGGTACTGGCCCCAACACCACCCAGGTCAATTTGCCTTGCACCAGACACACGTGCAAGGGTGTGCCCTGAGCCAAAAAGCAGCAGCACAAATATGTGCCACTGTTATCTGTGCCACAGGAAACGTGCACCCTTGCACTTAATACACCCTACAAGTTAAATTCTGACTTCCTGTTTATGTACATATCTTCAATTGTAGATTTATCTTCACATATAGAGTAGCAAAACTGGAAACTAAATGAGGTCACAAAGAAAAGACCTTGCCAGATTATCTTCAAAACATGTTCAGAGATCTGATGGGTATTTCCACTCTCATCTATCCTAAATTTTGTATATGTTATTTTAAAATATTTGGAAATCCAAATAGTTGGATAGTCCAAGACAATCTGTAATGCAGAAATGATCTGTTTTTCAAACAGACATTCAACTGCTCAACTAATTTGTATGCAGAGTTGTCATAAATGCATGTGGAGGCTGATTATTTGTGCCCTCAGATAGCCAATTAGATATCCATGTTAGTATCCAGTTTATACACATAAATGTAGTAACTTGCCTGTATTCATGATGGATAAATGAAGTTGTTTGCCAGGTGTTTTTGAAGATCAAGCTCTAAATTATAATGATTTATGCGGGGATTTCTATGGAACAGGGATGACATGCCTATTTGCTCTCTAAGGAATGCTGAAGGTTTGTTTTTTTTCAAGTAAGCCTAAAATGAATCTCCTAAATCCATATTCAGCACCTAAAGATGCAAAGCACTTCTAAAAATCAGGACATGGATTTATGAAACAACCTTAGGTATCCAATTTTTATGATCTTGGCTGGTGATTTCAAGTACAATGGAGGGAGACGTAAAAGACCATAATAGTACTGATTCTGGAAAAAAACAACATGCAGCTCCTACCTTCCATTAAGATGAGCAAAATATCCCTTAAAATGGTGATGGTTGTTGCCAAAACAAAGAAGGAGAAGACAAATGTGCAGATGGGGTCAGCTATTTTGTATTCTGGCTAAAAGAAAAAAAGATAAACATGGTACTAAATTAAATCCATCATTTTCAGTTGCTGGCTGGCTTGTTTAATTAGCTAATCCCAGAGTGCTATAATCCATACACGACACAGAAACTGTTACAGATATTCTCTGGCAGCTTTTGAAGGCCTCAAATCACTAAGGATGAAAAAGAGAGAGAAAAACAACTGTATCTTCCTTATGGCTTAAATGCTGAGGAAAAACTGTTCTGATCTCAACAGCCATTTTATTCCTTGAAATGAACATAATTGCCATTGACTAATATATGATATATATCACTGAGAGAGAGAAAAACATTTACTTAGTATTTAATGACAAAGTTATGGAAATAGCTTTATTCTTAATTGCTATGAAGGTGAGTAAACTAATAAAACTGACCTTAAAGAATATTATAAGTGCACTAATTAGCACACTAATGCTCTGAAATAAGTCCCCAATGGCATGAACAAAAGCTGCCCTCACACTGGCATTGGCCAAAACTGGCTTCTGTTGTGGAGCTGACATATGTTCATTGGCTTGTGCTCCGTGACTATGTCCATGGCCAGCCTGGTGTAGAGTCAAACTTATTCTGAAAGAGATGTAGTGCTGCAAATGTCAGTGATATCTTTCCATCAGAAAACAACACCCTGACATACTCCTTAGAGCAAAATCTAACTATCCATCTGGGTATCTGTAAAAATACATTTTCCCCATGTCAGGAAATCCCCCAAAGATTGAGGATTTTAGAAAACTTACATGATATTAGCTATCACTGCACAGCCTGAAGTAATGAGCATCACTGTGGCTTCAATCTCATAATTTGGGTGAAGGAGCCTGAGGCTAGCCAAATATGTCATCACGCCAGTCACCATCCAAATGATCATCATTGACATCAAAGCTCCCAGAATTTCTAGGGGTTAAACAGGTGAGTTTTAATAGCATTCTAATTAAAGGGCAAGGAATCGTTAATAAATTAATGCTAGTGCTTTCAGATTTCTGGGGTTTTTTCTCATGTTTTCACAGGTCCTAACATTCTTACCAGATTGGGTGCAAATAAGTCTGGCTTTCTCAAGGCCAACTCTTATTGCAAACCCACTGGCCTAGTTTGGGGTTAGAGTACTGATGCTTGTTCACACAAGGTTACATGAAGGGGCTTTAGCCACAGAGAGAATGGTAGGACAGTCAGGCATACATTCAGTTCTGCCCGAGGCGGATCCAGGGGAGGTGTGGCAGTGTGGTCACACCCCCGTCAGCGGTGTGGCACATGTGCAGTGAGTTGTCTGATCTCACTGGCATACCAGTGCAGCTCTTGCCGAAGCGCTGTGTGTGCTGCGAGCTCTGAGTTCACAGCGTACAGATGATTGTTGTACACAACAGCTGATTGTCGTAGGCTCTGACTCAACTGAGCCACACAACAGACAGGGGCATAGCTGCACTTCCCTCTACTTGATCCTGGATCCAGCCATGGTTCTGCCAGAAGTCTTTCAGCCTCCAGGGCTATGCCACCTTCTCCAGATGAAAGCAGCTGTGTTGTCAGAAGGCATTTACTGCTTGCTGAGCTGCATTCATATCAGCAAATTTTCCAGCAAAGCTACATTATTTCCAGGGTGTAATCTAGCTCTGCTGGCAGAACTTTGTAGTATAAAAGGAGCCCAAGTGTCTGCTGCTTCCTGGTGCAGAAAGTAGAACTACTGATCACCATGTGACTTGCATCTTGTGATTCATACTTATTTATGCCCAGTTGCCCACCAACGCATCAGTGAAAATTGAAATTTGCTGCCAAATGAAAGACTCAAGAGGTTTGCCAACATCCAGAATGGACAGTGGCTATCACACCAGCCTAAAGTGTCAAGATTTTGATTTTTCTGCACTTTTACACAGACAAATACATGTGAAAATAAGTATGTATAATTTCTAAAGTACAGGCTTCTGTAGACATGGAGTCCAGCTATTCTTTAATTTTTTTAAATGTACATATGCGTAAAAACTTACATACCCACAAAACATGACTGGCACTTGGACCTTCAGCTTCTCAAGACAGAAGATGAAATTATAGCCCTACTGAATTTGATAGGGGTTGTGTCACTAACTTCAAAATGGGTCAGGGTTTAACCCAGGACTTATGTCTGGTGGACTGGTGGTTTAATTTCTCTCTCTCTCTCTCTCTCTCTCTCTCTCTCCCCTCCCCCGCACCCCTCCACGGCCCCCCCCACTTTTCTGGCTCCTTTCATCCAGAATTGTTTGTTTTTGTTGTGCTTCAGTGAAAATACATATTTCTCAATAATAAGTGAAGTGTATTAGCAAAAGCATATTTGCAATCACAGAGCAGTTTATTAGTGCTAAAAAGCATTTTAATAAAACATTAAGCAGTCTCCCTTACACTATTGGTACTACCAGGATACATTAATTCTATTATATAAAATTAGGACCTGCTTACACTATCTATTTGAGTACACACTACTCATTCTTTCAACTATGTCTTTATTGGCAGCTTGACCACTACACGGTCTCTACTCTAGTCTATGTGCTTTGACTAAGGCTGTGAGCTGAAAGACAAAGATGGTTTAGATGGCCACACCTAAAACAGCCCTGTTCTACTGGTCTAACTATACCAGTGTAACTAGCCAGTATCAAGTTACCAGAATAAATAGGAAGAGTTTCCCACATAGACACACCCTAAGAATTTCTCTAGATCTAACTAGTGTCCATGCAAAGGACTTTTGGAGATGCAATTTTATTGTATAAAAATTTAGGAGGAGTAGCGGATAAAATTAAAGGAGTACGAAGTCATGAAACTGAGACAATTGGCAAAGACTTAGATTCATAGACTTGTTTTTTAAAAAACAAATTGGATCTTTATTCTACAAAAATATGGCCTAGTTCAAACAGGAATTGGTTGAGATAAGTTCTATGGCATGTGCTGTACAGCAAGTCAAACCAGAAATTCACTTATGACTTTGTAAACTACATATGGCTTAAAATACCTTTTGAATTTTTTCTCCTGGATCATCTCTGATATATTTGAAACTTCCCTGGTTGACAGTGCTAAATATTTCCACTCTCTTATAAAAATGTAAGGTTCCAGTCTCAAGGCACCCAGACTAGTCTCAACCCATGAGCTTATTCCAAAGCAATAAATGCCACCAACACATTGAAAAGCAACACTGATAAAGGAAACTGGAAGGGTGGCAACATTGAGAAACGGAGACACAAGACAGCAGAGGCAAAGGAACTTACCATTTCGCAAGAAAATCTCAATGTGCCTGTATAAATGATGCAGTATAGTATTGAACTGTTCAGTACTTAAATGGGTCCATTGCCCTATCTTTATTATCATTATTACTTTTCTAAAGACTTTTATTTACCAGGAGATTAAGGCTTTAATCCTGCTTCTGCCAAGTGAATGAGAATTCTCCTACTGACTTGAAAAGAAGCAGGAGGAAGCTTTTCCCTATGTTAAAAAGTGAATTGAAAAATACTTCAGCCTAATAAACTGCTCTCCAGTCTTGTATTCATTCCTTCTTTGAGGTTCGCTGATTTGCTGTTTTCCAATTTATGAGGTATCCTGAGAGCCTTGAGAACATTAGTACATTATCTTCACGTACCAACAGATCTGCGCCTGATCTGAGTATACTTTCCAGTGCCTTGCCATGATGAATTGCCTTTTCTATTTTACATGGTCATAGTACACTACATTCAGTACCTGCTCTGTGCCATCCAAAAGTTAACTGTTTAGTTGGAGGTTTCGATGATAACCACAGTGAGAAGAGGCTGATCAGGAAACTTGTCAAGTCAACCAGGATGTGCGCTGCATCGCTCATCACAGCAAGACTTCCTGCAATCCAGCCACCTGTGTAAACAAACATGATTTAATGATTTTCATCATTATACTCTTGTCATAGCATTGGATAAGTGGATTGACCCAAAGACCTTTGATGTAAATCTAGGGAAAGTCCCTTTCTAGTGATCATAGGTGGCATGATGTAAAACTCTTATAAACTGAGAGAAATTTGTATCATGTTCATGGATTCAAATGCTCCTAGTTCCCCAAAATAATGTTTTATTTGTGATATCTTCTTTGTCCCAGATGATTGGATGAAAATATCCAATGAATGGTAATTTTAAGCATATAGCAGCTCCTTGGAATTATGGTTTAATTGTTAACAATTTGCCTCAAGCATCTTGCAAAAAATGGATGTTATTGTTCCATTATCTATCTCATACTTCATTACAATTAACTGATATTGTTATTAACGCACAATGGTACACTATGAAATCATCACTTATGATGGGAAAATACTTAAAGATGACCTTGGCTAGAAGACAGGGTAGAGATGTGTCTCATAGAATCAAAGCTGCATCAGCTTTCATGAGCAAGAGCTCACTTCTTTAGATACTATGAAAAGGACATGCACAAAGCAGTCTATCAAATAAAGTGATTTAAATAATCTTGGATAAGCCTTTTTGGTAGCTTGGTACCCAGTTTGGTATCCAGCTAGGGGCCTGGCATAATTTAGAGTAGTTGAAAGGATAGACAATAGTAAATGGGGCCAGAGGAAGAACCTAGTACATAAATAATATGCTCTGGGTCCTATTTATATGATACACAGGAGAGTGTTATAGGTGAGGGTAGGGAGAAGAACCCTTGCATACATTTACATGAGTAAACCGTATGTCAGTAGTACATGCTTTATTAGCCATTAGAACTAGGGAGAAAATCTGGTAGGATATTTTATTCACTGAAAGTTGTGGAGTTGAGAAACTAGATGATCAATTGTGGAGCTGAGAAACTAGATGATCAAATCAGCAGGGACAAAAAAGTGAAAAAAAGGCCATGGAAATGACTCAGAAGCAATGTTATAAATGTTATAAAAAGCAACAGGCTACTCTCAAATTCCTTGGAGCAAAATACTGGAGACCCCAAATCATGTCCTCTGATTTTCTGTGAATCTTTTTATTCCAGAAAGGTGGCAAATATTAATTCAGTTTTTTTTCCCCTGTAAGGCAGGTAAATCTTATAGATAATTTGGTTGCATGGCTATTCAACAATTACACAGCTTGGTATCAAAGACATAATGAGCATGGACCTTGCTATCTGAAGGGTAAAACTCTTAGGAATAGCTTTCATGAATACATAATGTTTTTTACCTATTTAGCGTTCAGCCAAAAACTCTCCTTGAAGGGGAAGCTAGACAAAAGTCTGTGTTGCCTCATAGGGGTGCCTAAATAGACCAACACCTTAAAAAAAATTAAATGATGCAAAATCATATGAACAATATTTGCTCCTTCAAGGGTGCATCTACATGAAGTACTAAACCACGGTGCAGTACGGGCAGTTACTGCGTTATGCATACGGCGCATAGATTTCACCGCTACGTCACTGTAGCAACATGTGATAACTGGGGAGTATGCTGCTATGGCGACATAGATGGTGATCACGTATAGACCTGCGTGATGCTACATCACTATAGCATGTCATACAGTGACATAGCATGTCACTACATCGCCATAGGGCAATGTGTATATGCACCCCAAAATACTTACCAAAATATTATACCATGTTCCATATGCATGGAACACAAAGCATGTTTTTCTTCTCATGAACCCTTCCCAATAAGGCTTCCCATTTACTGGCACCAATAGATGCTAAGCAAAAAGGAATAGCAATGATTGTACGAATTTCTGGCAGCTCAATTGTGGCAGCAAAATAAAAGAAGACAACAGAATGGAGATTACACAAAATGTGAGCAATTTGAGGTACATATAAAGATGAAACAAAAAAAGTCTCAAACCATATTTTCCATTGTGACACATCACCTAACACTGCACAATGGCTGTAACACAGATGTTTTCTAAGTATTTTACACAGCAACGTATATAAAGACCTTGTGTGATATGCTGCAGCCTTAAGAAGCTGGGATGCAAAACTTTTTTCAGTTAACTAAGTTTACAGAAAACTGAATGTGGGATTTGTCCCTTGTGTTTTGGATACTTTTTATTTTGTTGCGCCTTTTTCATTCAGATTTACAAACTACCTGCTCTAAACTGCTCACCTTGAAAATTTTATGGAGATGATGCCAAACTATTATTTTATGCACTGCTGGGTTGATTCATACCAAGAAAAGTCTCTGAGACCTCAGCTTGTGTGTCTCAGCAACATGGCCATGACTTCCCGTTCAACTGTCTGATACAGGTAGGGTTAGCTCTAATTCAAGGTGCCAGAATAGAATTAAAGTCCATTAAAATCCACATTTTGCCTTTAATGGCTAATGTTGCCATGTGAGCACTTCTACGAAGGATATATGTGAGGAAATATATATGTCATCAATCTGACTAATGGCTCCATAACCAAGGAAATTGCTGTGTGTCAGCATTAAAAGAACAGAAGTGAAAGACCATTGGAGGATGAACTTGCCTTAATTTCCATAGTCTTAAAGCTCCATCAAAAATGCCCCGTTTTGAAAGTTATTTGAAGCCAAAGCAGATATACTGTGATGTAAACACAGACTTCATTTGGGTGTATGGGGATCCAAAGAAAGAAACATTTTTCTGCAAATGAGATACATATTCGTTTCTGTTGCTTATCCCAATTTAGCCTACATGAGTATTTTGCCCTTACAAAGGGGGGAAGGATAACATGTTCTTTGCTTTCAAGAGGAAGGTGTATAATAGCTATAAGCTTTATTGCTTTGTAGCAATATTCCAAACAAATGGCTTCTGTGATTGATTATTACTCATAGTGGCTGTTTATTGCTTTGTATACTATGAAGCTATAAAAATTGTCAGTCACTCAGTGGTCAGTCATCTAACACATGCTGTCTAACCTAATGATTAAAAAAATTAAATATATGGTTCATAATTGCAATAATCCCCATAGACCGCTGTCTGTAACTGCAGTTAATAACTGGTTTGTCGGAGTTTAATGGTCTGAAGCAAAATGGTCTTGAAGCCTGTTACTCAGCTGTCACTGCAAGAATCTGAATGATTCATTAGGCAAAAAGAAACATTTAGTTAACATATCATCTGTCCTTCCAATTATCCTTTAGCACTGCTGCATTCACCACATTTAAGCATGCTGATTATATGGCTTTGTTAATAATGCATTCCTTCTGGCCCCAGAAATTGCTGCATGGAGATGAGTAGCATGCACCAATATTCACAGGGTGAAATTCCCCCACTCACAAACAACTCAGGTGGAGCATATGTTTTGGGGAAGGGGTTGAAGAGGAAAATTCATGCTCTAAAAGAGGGTCAGCATAAAAGACAGCAATGCAGTCCACCAGTGCAGTCCTTCAGTCTTCAGATGAAAAGACTGGAGTACCAGACATTTCTCTTTGCCTTAATTTCCTGAGAGAGACCAGTCAGATCACTTCTTCACTTTTATAGAGTTTGAAGGTTACTAGAGCTATATGAGCATGGGTTCTACGTTACTCGCTACCCTATATGGGGCTGATATACAAAATCTTTTTGCAGTACATATGTTTCTTCACAAAGTCCCTCCCATCAGGGCTGAAGTGGCATGTATGGCTTTGTTCTTAGCTAAAATAACTTAGTTGAAGGGGATGAAGATAAAATGGGAAAAAATAGCTGCTTACAATTACCACTTTTAGAAAGGAATTGTTCATAGTGTATCAACAGGATTTTAGTGGACATAATGCTTCAAGAATGAGCAAAGGAAAAATTAGGTTGGAGGTCAGGCGGCAAGTCCAACAAGTAAGGCATAACTCACTAAGGAATATTCTTCCAAGGAAAAGTAGCATGGTCAAATGCTGGCTGGATTTATTCATCCAGAGCAAGCCAATGCCCGTATCTGAAGATAACTTCCATCCTGATATAACTCCCTTGATTTATGTGAATTATATAGATCAGTGGTGCTCAACTGATCCAGCCTCATGGGCCAGATGAATAAGAGAAGTGGTGGCAGTATCCTGGACACCCTGGATTTTGGTCTTATGTTTATTCAAATTGCGTAAAGACTACTGTACAACACAGGTTTTACTTCATATTGTACTGATGTGTACCATCATCATCTCCTGACTTGAAAAAGAAAGTCTTGCATTCAAAATTTTGTCTATCTTTATGCCAACTATATAGTTGGTCCAATAAAAAATAACACCCCAACATTTAACATAACTTGTTTGAAACTTTGAAGAGGAAACTTGGAAATATGATGTAAGATTATTGTATTAGAAGTGCTTCCTAATTTTAACCAGTGATTGTAGGATCATCAGAAAGTAGAACTAGAAGGAAACTCATGAGGTCTTCTAGTTCAGCTCCTTGTTCAAGGTAGGATCATCCCTAACTAAAGCATCTCAGCCAAGTGTCTGTCTAACCTGATCTAGAAAATTCCCAGGGATGGAGATTCTTCAACTTTTCTAGGTAGCCTGTTCCAATCCTTGAACACACTCATAGTCAGAACGTTTATCCTAATCTCCAACCTAAATTTCCATTTCTGGTGTCAGATATACATAAAAATGTTTGAATAATTAACTAAATAGGGATTTTTTTTTAATTGGAGAATAGGAAGTAGTTACTTTATCCAAATTGTCTCTCCCTGTCAAACAAAGATCACAATGTGTACAGAAGTACACAAACATGATGATGTTTGAGAACAATATGGAAGGGCATTGATGGCAAAACATAGTTATTTATGTCTAAAGAAAGAATACTCCCCTATGATCTCTGCAATCATGAAGATGAGGCAAATGACTGATGCTGCACAGAGCTTCCGCGTGGCTTGACACTGTTCTCTTTTTCTGCTCTCATAGGACTTTGACTGGCTTTGGCAATCGCACAGCAGGTTACATTCAGAATCCTCTGGTTCCTCCTGGTGCGTATCTTGGCTTAAGCTGTTCTTTTGCAGTTCTATACTATGGGATTGAAAGAAAGAGAAGGTAGAAAGGTATTACTATTTAGGGGCCCAATCTTGCAATTCACCCATGTGAAGATGTATAATAGGATATAATATGTATAATAACTGTATTTATAATAACAGTTGTATAATAACAGTATTTGTACTGTTGGATTCGTTTTTATTATATCAGGAGCAGCTGTGGCAGCAAATGCTATGAATGAGGTTGCAAAGCACTCATATAATACATAGTAGTGAGAAAGCACCACTGAATTCAGCAGGTGACTCACAAGAGGTCCATCTACATGTCATCACTGCTCTCTCAGGGGGCAATGTTTTGTCTGCAGCATGCTTGAGAGAGAGACTGTGGTGGACACCCACGGGGAGACTTCACTGCCATTTCACTTTGCATATACCACAAGCGTATCCAAGTGGGACATGCTGAAGACTGTCGTATCCTAGGAGTGCTAGAGATGTGGTATAGACAAAGCATTGCTGATATGAGGAACAGCCTGCAGAAGGAGACTTCACAAACTCATCAGGGTGGTGCTATGTCTCTTTCATGTGGTTGGGCCAAGTTTTCTATTTTTCATGGTCTCCTTCAGATAACTTTTCATTATATACCAAAGTTAGCTACAGCACACGCTTTTCAGAAAGTCATAACTCAGGCAAATCCAAATCAAATTAAATGGAACATGAGGTCTATTTCTGTACAAAATTTCAATTTTCTATTCCCAGCAACTTTGGCAGAAAGATTATTCAAAAAAGGTCACAATTTCTTTTCCTGTAATTGAAAAAACTATATTTTCCTCACTCTCCTCAAGCTCAAAAATGGCTGAACTGCTTTTGCTTCGGAGCTTCTCAGCACACAAAATATGATCTATCTTTAGGCAAAGCCTAAATGTCAGCCCAAAAGGTCAAGAAGGATATGATGAAAAGGTTCTCTAAGATAGTCTGGTCCCTTCATACTGTTCAAGTAGCATAAAAAGTGGCAAAGGTTCAGCAAAATCCTCCCTTTGGGAATCTTCCCAGCCAAATTTAATTTGCCAAAAAAACCCTCAATCTTGCCCTTCTCAAAGCCCCCAGTATAGGAAATATGGGGCAGGGGGAGAAATGTGCTTTGACTGGAAGGCACAGTTATCCTCAGTGGCCCTTAATGTCCTTGCTGCCACACACATGCTAGGGTAGCTCTGAGACTGTTTTAATTTATTTCAGTGTCAGGAGGCCCTAAGGTAATTTTGTATCCAACCCTGTCCCTCCCACCCTTTTTCCTGCAGCAAGTAGAGCTTACATGGAAAAAAAGAACTTGTCCCAGGAGGTTAGAATGAAAACTATTATGCGGCTTTAACTAGAGCTTTTTGTTGCTACAGCTGCTCCTACTGTAAAAACCCAAAAGTAAAATCACTCTCCCCTATAGCCTGTCATGCTACTTGTGGGACAGCACTACAGTAATACATAGCTAATTCCACCCAATGATATATATGTAAAATATATACAACCATTGAACCATATAACTTTTGTGTATGCAGAGGTCCAGTCCAGAATACCATCTTGGTGTGTCTCAAATACAGCTATGGTTTCATGTTTGAAATTGGTCTTGAGTCATGATACCAAGTCGGGCTTAACTACACTCTGGTAATATCAGCCTGCTTCCACATTCCTTGTACTGGAGGCTTTCCCTTGGGAAAAATAATAACAGTTGTCCCCTAGATTTTGTTAAAGAGGGCTATTTCTTATGTTATGTGACATTTTCCATGTCATTTATGAACTTGTAGATGCCCAAGTCCCTGAGAATATAAATCCTGGAGAAAATTATGATCACCAACATGATTTTTTTGATGGTAGGAAATACTGAGAAAGGATCAAATAACAAGGAACAGTGGTAAAGGGACACATTTTTTACCTTGGGTCCAGCTCTTTCCTGTGGAAGCTGGTTGTACCTAGCCAATTCAGGATTCTTTAGAAAAACTCAACTGTGAAAACCAGTTCCACATACATTGATACCACTGTCTCAGCACGGGGGTCACATCAAGGTATACGGGGAGAGAGGAGAGGGAAAGGCACAGCAGAGTTCTGCAGACAGCTGGTATTTGGTCCATGAGGCCTGAGGCTGCTCTGCCTTCCACCAAGTCACAAGCAGTTTGAAAGTCAGGGACTGCGTCTACCTGAGACACTGATTGTGCAGTCATTACTAGTTTATACAAGTACTAAAGCACAGTAGCACCAACAAATGTCTTTTTCATGATGCTACTGTGCAGTAGCCTAATACTCCTGTGCAGCAGCGTCGCATCACAGTTGTTGCCACGCCACATTAATGTGCAGTAATATCAGGCTAGTGCGCAGTCAGCATTTCATGTAGACATGGTCAGGGAGCTGTAGACCCTAACAACTCCATTTTCCTCCTCCTGCATCAAGCAGATATAGGCAAAGGAGAGAATATCTTCCTGGTTAATTACCAAGAAAGAGGCAGGAATTTCCTTTTTCTCCTCTTTAACCAAAGTCAGCAAGTACAGATTAGCTGCACAAATCTGGTTGTCTGCACAAATCTGGTTGGAGATGTTCTAAGTATTCAGTGTTCCCCCAAGCCAGCTTAGTTCCCTAGCAGCATGGTCAGAGACTAACATGTGGTCTCTACTTAGCTGTGTGGTCTCTACTTAGCTGAGACAACTGATCCCCTCTACATGCTTCTGCGGAGTTTGCTTGGAAGAGCAAACGGTCAGATTTAATGCCCAGTGACTTGCATAGATTTCATAGATTTCATAGACATTAGGCCTGGAAGGGACCTCGGAAGATCATCAAGTCCAGCCCCCTGCCCCAGGGGCAGGAAGTCAGCTGGGGTCATAGGACCCCAGCAAGATAAACATCCAAATTTCTCTTGAAGGCGTTCAAAGTAGGTGCTTGAACCACCTGCAATGGCAGGCTATTTCAGACCTTGGGGACTCGGACAGTAAAGAAGTTCTTCCTTATGTCCAGCCTGAAATGGTCTTGGAGGAGTTTATGACTATTCAACCTTGTCATCCCTTGGGGTGCTCTGGTGAACAGACATTCCCCCAGATTCTGGTGAGCGCCCCTGATAAGCTTATAAGTGGCCACCAAATCACCCCTGAGCCTACGCTTTTCCAGGCTGAAGAGTCCCATGGCTGTCAGCCTCTCATCATAAGGTCTGTTTTCCTGACCACTGATCATGCGCGTGGCTCTTCTCTGGACTCTCTCAAGCTTCTCCACATCCTTTTTGAATTGTGGAGTCCAAAACTGGATGCAGTACTCCAGCTGCGGCCTCACCAAGGCCGAGTATAATAGGAGAATGATGTCCTGGCATTTGCTTGAGAAGCATCTGTGGATTCAAGCCAGCATTTTGCTTGCTTTACTAGCAGCTGCATCACATTGAAGGCTCATGTTCATCTTGTGGTCAGTCATGACCCCCAAGTCCCTTTCATCTCTAGTGCTAGCCAGTGTAGCACTGCTGAGCCTATAAGGATGCTGCAGGTTTTTCTTCCCAAGGTGGAGAACCTTGCATTTTTCGGTGCTAAACACCATCAGGTTCTCATCCGCCCATTTCATGAGCCTGTCAAGGTCAGCCCGGATCACTCTCCTGTCCTCAGGTGTGGATGCTTTACCCCAGAGTTTGGTATCATCGGTGAACTTGGCCAGTCCGCTTCTGATACCAAAGTCTACATCGTTAATGAAGATGTTGAACAAAATAGGTCCAAGGACAGAGCCTTGAGGGACCCCACTGGCCATGGCACACCACGATGATTGACTTCCGTCAACCACCACCTCTGGGTCTGATGGAGCCAATTCCCCAGCCAGCGGATCATGGTGGACCAGAGGCCACAGTTAGCCAGTTTTGCCAAGAGGTGATCATGGGATACCAGATTGAAGGCTTTTTTAAAGTCGATATACAACATCAGTCTCTTCCCCCTTGTCCAGGTGATAGGTCACTTGGTCGTAAAAGGAAATAAGATTGGTCAAGCAAGACCTACCCGCAACAAACCCGTGCTGGCTATCCCTCAGGATGTTGCCATTGGCCAGTCCATTAAGAATGGCCTCTTTTATAATCTTCTCTAAGACCTTCCCTGGGACTTGAGATGCTTTTGACTCATTTTGTCCCTGCGTTCCTTTATTTTCCCCACAAAAGCAAATAAATTGTGGGTAAGCCATCTGGGGAACAGGGATCACATCTGGCAGCCTGTTGCCCTGCCAGTCAGCACCCTAAAGCTGTGCTTCTATAAGAAACTTACACTGTTTCATTTTTATATTCATCTGGCTTCTCATGTTTGCCTGTGTCACTCGAAATACAGTATTTTGCTGATGTATTAGACCCAGAAGGTACCACAAATTGATTCATTCCAGATGGCTGAATTAAATACTGTAGTTTACTCACTTTCCCCTGGAGCTCCTGGCATACAAGTTTCTCCCTCTCCAGAGTTAAGATCCAGTGCTCTTCTGTATTTTGTGTGCAAAATTAATTTTCCCTTAACTTAATTTCCATTGGCTGGCACCAAAAGTTTAAAATCATCCTGGGGACTCAAGTCACAATTTGCTTATCAGTCTGCCAGGTTGGGGGAGGCAGTTCCAAAACTATCCCTGCTGTTTTCTCAGCCACCAAACACTTCTTATGGTGTTAGGAAATGATTCATTGTCATATTCTTTATGGGCTGGGTTTTTTTTTTAAATATTCAAGGTACCTTCTAGCCACCAGGTAACAATACGTTGGAATATCACCACAGGGCAAGCAAATGCTGTATTACAGAGCTCATCAGACTGAGGAGGAAACCAACACAGAGAAGATGAAGCCAGAAGTGTTACATTTAGAAGCCAGAAGTTAGGCATCTAATAAAAGTGACCTTGTTTCCAGAGGGGCTGAGCATCCACTGCTCCTTTTGAACTGAACAGGAATAAGAGGGAACAGCATCTGGCCCAACATGTTAGAAAGGCTCTTGCCAGCTCCGGAGAGTAACAGGCTTTTCAATAGCTGCTCACCACTAATTGAAGGAATCTAAGAGACAGATTTTTAAA